CTACATACACATAAATAGCTCAGAAGAGGAGACAATCCATGGATAAAGAAGTACAAATGGGTAACCAAGTTATACAACAAAACACTGCTGGAAAGCACTGCTATACTAGCAATTCACCTCAAGAATGCGGCTCTTCAGTAGAAATACTAAGAATGTGTTTCAAATAAGATACTGAAATTATTTCCCTCATCTTTTCTATTTGCACACTACAAAGTAAGATGAAATCTAATCTGTGAATCAGCTGCACCACCACAGCCATTGTTTTTCACAGCCAACATTGCAAATGCTAAAGTAGAATCCTTCTCAGTTAAGAGAGAGAACAAAGCTGCAGAGCACCAGAATTGCTGGGACTGGGCTTCAAACAGGTAAGTATACTCTAGAAACAATCCCAAAGAACACATGCATCCATGCAAACATACTCTCTCAATGAGGCCTTTGAAAAAACTTCAATCATAAAGTTGTGAGATAGCACACTGATTAAGGAGCTAACTCTCTCCACGCCAAGTGATTTCATAGTATTAGACTGTTTTCTATAAGACTAGAGTCAGAGGATAAAGCAGAAACAGATGCAGAGCAAAGCCTGTTTCCATTACAACACTTACCTTATAATCACGATTTGCATCGGACAACTGCCAGTTAGCATTTGGCACTCCCATTCTCTTATATTCTTCTGCTAGATCAATAAGCTGCCAACCTTTGACTTGCTCAGATTTATTTTGTTTTGGATTATAGGAGAAGGCATACAGTTCTTCATATTTTGCTAAAAGGTAAAGAATAAGACTACCTAATGAGTTGTTCCCAAAAAATGTCTGAGTGGAGAAAAGTAACACAGTTGACAAGCCTTGAAATTGCCCAAATTGCAGAGAAAGTTTTAGGCTTCAAGATTCTCAGAAGCAAGACTAAACAGATACTTGACACTCTTGAAATATTTATTCTGCAACTATCATACTGTTAACTGACACAATTATAGATATTTAGTTAAAGGTAGGTTACAAGAGCCTTCTTGAGTGTGCTTGACCTATTTCAGCCAGGACATTTTTAGAGCCATACAGGCAAAGCAGAAGTCACAAAGTGAAGACTGACAAAATTAAACAAGACAAAAGGCAGAATTATTAGAAGGCTTCACAAGAGCTAAAAGAACAAACAATTTTTGGAGGTAAGAACAGAAATTTACATCTACTGAACTTTAAAAGCAAAAAGTTTTAAAGTTTCCTTTAAAGCTTTCAAAATATTTTGTTTTTCCTAATACACTATTCACATATCACAGATGACAACGTTTTACATTGCATTTTCTGCTTTGTGTTTAGAACAAAATACCATACTAGGTGACAGACGTCTCTTGTAAAGCTGAATTGGTAGTGCTATTTTAGCATCAAAACTTCAGTTTTATTTTTGAAACTGCATGAAATCAGTAACAAGTTAGTATTTGCTTAGTAGCATTTTATCTATGGAACACATCGATTAAGAAAGACTATACACATTTATATTTACAATTTCAGGGATAACATTAGAAATGCAAAAAAAAACCCAGGAATCTCACATTCTGTTAGTGAACATCAGTGACCAGACTGATGTTCACTAAAAAATGATGTTCACTAAAAAGCCAGACAACACATCTTCTGAATTTGTATGCAGACTAATACTTAATCATTAAAATTCTTTTACATACCAAATCCATTTAAAAGACTTTTACATAATGTACATTAAAAAAAGTCATGGATTTTTTTTCCCTCCCCCTACCAACTTGTTATCCAGGCACATACTGCAAAGTCTTCTACAGTTAGAAGCATTACCTGTTCTTGACAGCTGAAGCAGAGAGTTATAAATGTCATGACAATCTCTCTCTCTGGGAACAACAAAGTGAACTATCCTGAAGTTCTTGCACTGGATGACAAGGGGGCACCCAGAAGTTGTCAAGGGAAGTTTTTCCACCGCAGCAATGTGATGATGCAGTATCTGTGACATACAAGAACTCACAGCATAAACACGCCAATGAAAAATGAGAACAGCATACTATTTACAAAAGCAGATATAAGACACATTAAGTGATGTGGAATATGGATTTTGACTAATTTTCTCAATCATTCAGTTATAAAGAGAAATAAATTTATAAGAAGAAATCCAAGACTGGCATTTTGGTCAGGATACCATAATTTGTCAAAATTTAATTATTCTCTTCCCTCATATTCTGAGGTGTTACCTAATGTTTGTAAGGGGCAGTAAATATCCTTCTAAATGCAAAAAAAAAAAAAACCCAAGAAGTAAAACTCCACTAGTTCAGTCCTCTTCTATAACTTTACTAACTGACACGCTCATATCTAATCAGGCAGGGTCCTAATAGGCTATCTGCCCTTTTTTTTTTTTTTTTAAAGGATCTACAGGAACATACTTCACAATTTTCAGGCAAAATAAAGCAAATCAGGGAAAGAAACTCGCTGTATAAAAGATACAGAAGATGCCGAAGATTTTAGAATTCCAGTATTCAACATCTATAGAATGAACAGGAGGTAAGAAAACATCTCCTGTATTACCCATTGCACTATGTAGACATGAAAGTCTCTCAGCTAAATGCCTTTCAACCTAACACTCTAACAGAAGACTGTCACAGTAATGGATATACAAAAGCCCTCCATAGATTTATCTGTGTGGCAAATCTACACAAAATTTAATACATAGGAAAGTAACAGCTGTTCAACCATGGGAAGAAAGCCACAGATACATTACCTCAACTGAACAAGATGTTCTTGATATCATTTCAATTACCTCACTGAAGCAATCGTCTCTTCTTAAATATTGATCAGAATGAGACAGACATCTGAAAACTATGCTGACCAAATATGCATTTACAAAGAGACTATATCCTGGAGACATTATCATAGTTATACTTGGTACTTCCATTATCACAGAAATGCAATACTCTGAGTATATGTTCAATTTCCCCAAAATGAAACCTTTTAACATAGTGCACAGGGAGATGCAAGTAACACTTCTGAATCATGTTCTCCCCAATAACTCATTTTATATGAAAGGGTAACAGTTTGGTTTGTACAAAGTTGTACATTGTATCCAAGAACAAATCATGGAAAAATAACTTTTCTTGAAAGCACCATGAGGCATCTAGTCAGATAACCTGGATTACCCTTAATCCTGTATCCTGAAAAATACACCTACAGAAAAAAAACTAACTACACCAAGGGAAATGAGATTTCATCCTGGAGGATGATAGACTTAAGGCACTGAACTCAATCAGGTAGCTGAGCTACAATGGAAGCCAGAATTTGATGTCCACATGTGTGCCACCAGGGCACTGAGCAGGAAAACTGATGGGAATTACTGTACTAGCCAACTTTGATTGTACAACATTGGTAGTGGTCATCAAGAAGCTGCAGCCCCTTCTGAATTCTTTTATTCTGGAGATGAATACTTGGGAAGAAACAGCTGCTTACCACTCTAAAAAAGGGCATGGGATCTTCAATATTTCACCAAAGCCTAGATCTTTGGATTTTGCTGTCTCATTTAACACAGGCGGGATGGAAATACAAGGTAAGTTAATGCAGAAATTTTAAACCTGATGCTTAAACTATCTAGCAGTCCTGCCTCTGAATTGTGGTGCAAGTCAGTTGTTTAAGAAAACCACCACACATTCACTCAAGAATACAAGTGAAGGCTATAGAAGAAATTACAGCAGCTTGAAGAGAAACGAGCTTTTTCAACACTACCTGATTTCAACTGCAGCAGTGTCATGCAAGAGTACAATCTGCAAATTATTAACTTAATATGATACCATGAACAAGGAGAGCATGAGGAATAACTTACAACTTAGATGAACATTTTAGTAAACAAATTCAACCTTAGATCAGGAAGAACAAACACATCTGGAGAACCTATGCTTTTGAGCCACAAGCTTTCATTATCCTTACCCACGTTTCTCTCTGGCTTGAATCTATGAATAACAGATGAGTTGCTGTAAGGTATAGGGTTCCCGTCAGTGATTTATGGCTCGTGCTGAACCTATCTAGTAATTTCACTTGCTCTACCTGTAAGAAAAAAGGGGAGAGGGAGCAAAATTTAATTTTTGCTTTTTTGCAGAAAGCAAAATCCTAACTTTGCAAAAGCTATGTCAGTTTGTGCAATAATGTTGAAAATGGTAGAAAGCAATACACAGCACGCATAAGGCTATTTGGGCCAAACTATTAAGAACACAATAGTGGTCACATAAGCTTTGAGAAGACTGACTAGTTAAAATATCCTGTTTCATCACAAAAAGTGCATAATGAAGGCACAATGCTAGGCTCCGAATACTTACTCCATATACACAACTGCTATGGTTATTTACTAGTAAAAGACCAGAATATCAAGTTCTTAAAAAATTAAGAATGATTAATTACTAAGCTTTTAGACTGCTTCCCCAAAGCAGAGCAAACACACACTAACAATTTCCTGTTATTGAGATGCCAGCACTGAATGAACAGCTGATCTCAGCAACATGCTTCCTTGGCTGTCTGCAGACTCACAGCCATAAAGATTATGTCCTCCTGACTTCAATTTTAGGTATCTACTGTCTTTTATATCATCCCCAACTTTAAAAATCTAAATCATCATAACCTCACCTCATAGTCAAAATAAATTCTAATGAAATGTAAGCATTACACTAACAATTACAACAATCTCCTAGAAATTCAAGGACTGTGCTGGCATTTGAAGCAGGTATTTCAAGCTTGAGTCTTGAAAGGGCAAATTTCTCCTCCTGGTATTCCATCAACATTGTTATCTCAATCCCATGGAAAACATTTCAGAAGAAAGTGATTTCTAGATGGCCTGCATTTTATCTGCTGCTCATAACCTCACTGACCCCAGAGTTTGCTTTATTTGAAGCAAACATTACATGATTCTTTGTGTGCAACAACAGGAAAGGAGTGTGGTGAATGGCTTATCTCAATGCATTCCTCTATTTCTTGGCAGCACTGTCTCATTAACGCCAAGTTAAAGCTCTTATGCTTAAGCCTTGCTGCTACTGCCATTAAATGCATGGCAGAACTCCAAAACCTTCCAAACGAGCAAGACTAGCACCCGGATGAGATGACTAGGAGAGCCCACATCTACTGTGCTGATGTTAAGCCGTTTTTAATTCGTATGTACAAGCTTATTTATCTACTAAAAGCACATATAAAACACTAGAAATTCTCTTCAATTCAGGTATTTCTTATAATCCAGCAAGGCCTAATTTTGTGTTTGAAAGTTAGAAAAGCAATTTAACACAAAAAACAGAGTGGAGGAAATGCAAGTATCTACTAAAAGCCAGGACTACTACGATATTCTAGATTTCAGTTTAGAAAGCAAAAAAAATTGGAAGCTACATGCATCAGTACCTCAACATGCATTACGCTGTAACCGGCAAGGCATCAGTGCTCAGATACAGAACAGCATAAGTCAGTATAGCACAGCCAAAATGCAGAATTCATTCTGGGCAGTTCTGCAGCAGCAACTGCCCAGGTACCTGGCACTGCACCTCCCCAGCAAATTGAGAAGTGCACAGAAACCGCTCCGGTTTTGTTCTAGTAACACAACCCACAAAGTCCTGGCGTGCAAAGTTCCATTCTCCTCCATGTAACAAGACTGCTGTTCTCAAAGCTGTATTTCTATGTTAGATGAGGACAGGCATTAGTGCTCCAGCTTCCTCTTACACAGGTAAAGTCTTCAAGAATTCTGAAAGCTAAGTTCTAGATATACTTTTCTTAAAGACAACCGAAACGTAATTTAGATGTAGCCTCCATAGATGACATGTTCATTTAAACTTGACCCAAGCCAGCTTTAATGGGTACTCAGCTAGACAGACACTTTTTTTTTGCTTTTTAATTGTGAAGTTTGGCAAATCCTTAGTTATGAAAAACAAGTCAGTTGTCAGTTTTGAAGAGAAAGGATTCACAAGATTAAGGGATTGAAGACTGCTATTGAGTTTTAGCACATCTGTGAACAAAGATCATTTAAGTAGTCAAAAGGGATATTCTGACAGTAGCTAGCACTGACAAATTAGTGAGCTTTTACACCAGTAAGAATTTGAACAGCTACCTCAATAATATAGAGTATTTACAGTGAAAGAGTCACCAAACAGTTTATCGGGATTAGGAGTTACAGATTAAAGGCAAAAAAAACAAAGAAATGTTTCAATATAGGAGACAAGTTGGAAGAGAAAGGAAGGCTGAAACTATACCTCTGAAATCTTGCATTAAAAAAGCTGAAGGATTAAATTAGAACAATTAATCCAAGACAAAAACAATTACAGTATATCATTCCAAGATTCTTTTATTACAACTTTGTATGACATTTGCTGAAATGAAAAGGAGTTTTCCCTTCCCCATTTAAGTCTCAGGCTTGCAAACATAAGTTTAGGATTTAGCAGTCAAGCTAAGAAAAACTTTCCATCTCCAGTAGAAAACCCATCAGTATTTTCACTAAAAGAGATTTCACTTCAAATATACAAACAGATTTGACTAAAGAAATTCCAGTCTTTTCTACTATGTTTTGCTTTAAAATATTTTTAAGAACACTTCAGTTTTAAAGCTTCATTGCAAAACCACAACATTCTTATTTGTAATTTCACCACTACCACTATTTATGACATATTGTGAACTGGTTTTCATCGTTTGTTGCTATTTAAGTATATATTCTCAGACAGAAGTGATTTTTAAGTTGACCTCACTTCTTTATTCAATAGGAATGTGTTGGACAGTTTAATTTCACAAAAAGCTAAACTTTATTTCAGGTAGCTGTGCTGACAGTTCTAAGACAATTTTAACTTCAACATTTCAAAAACACGCAGAAACACAATCACTTGCAGATGCAAAGAAGTCAGTGACCTGTATCCTTTCTAGTCTCAATTTAAGGTTTGAAACTTAAAGAGCTACTCAGGTCATCAAGAGACTTTGATTCTAGTCTAGTTTTTTATTTTGAAATTAGCTATTGACTGTAGCAATACAATAATAAGTTCCCAAACAAGGAGTTTTAGGTTTTAAGTAAATAGGCTGATAAAGAAACCTTATCTCCAATCTGTCAGCTCAGTGCAAGATTATTCCATCCAGTAAACTAGTGTCACTAAGAGTAGCTTCATCAGAGACCTTCCTCTCGCTTCATATATACACATACAAATATGTATGAAAAATAAAACAAGCTATACACATTTTATATAAAATTTATATAAGCTGTTACTCAAAAAAATTAAAAGCCTGTTCCTTTATATAATTATTCATTATAAACCTACTATTTGGAGCTGAAATATGACCACTCCTTTTCTCCACACATCTATAAATCTAGTTTAAAGTTAGACTGCCAGGTTAGGGAACTAACCACTTGGCAATTTTCAGGACCCAACAGAGAAGGGCAGTCTTTTCAGCAGCCTTTGCAGTCAAGGCTGATGAGCAAGATGAAAAACATACTGTTAGAAATTTAATTCTATAAAAGCTGCGACTTAAAAACTTACTTAAAAATTATTTACGAAAATACTTACATTTTTTTAATCTTAATTACAGAAGAAACTAAAACTAGAAAAAAAAAATCAGAAGAGCCTAAAATGTCAGCTGCAACTTAGCTAGTGTTTTTGAACAGCCTAACACACTGCACATATACTGATAGCTCGTGTGCCTAACGCCACACACCAGAGCCTTTAAAAGGAAGAAAAAAAAATAATGTTGTTTTCACAGCCGATTTACCTCCAAAGCTAGAAAAAGCTGCACGGAACCACACCCCAAGTACAAAAACCAGCTGCAATCCTCTCCCAGTTAGCTGCTTCTGTTCCTCACCCTCCGTTACAGCACCCCCATTACACCAGGACAATTTTTAGCGTGTCCCTCTGATTAACGAGGCTGTTCATCCCAGCGGGGCCGCACCGGTGCGGCGCGCACCGAGCTCCCCACGAGAGATTTTACCCCTTCAGCCCCTCGGCTCGGAGAGGGCCCGGCCCAGAAGCCTCCGAGAGGG